GCTTCCATTTTACCTTGATTTGGCTCTGATACCAATTTCTGTCACACCCCAGTTTGACTCACCCTCTACCACGAATTGGAGTATAAAAGAGAAAGATTTCAACGTCTCAAACTCCACACTTAACAACAGGAAGCATGTAATATACCTTATTGAACCTCAACATAATTAAAACAAATACATAGCTCTACTAAAACTTTTAAAATTCATTCACATATCCAAAATCCTTTACACCTAGCATTCAGATCTCGCTTTAGATCTCTTTCACCCCAAAACGTACTTACATTAAAAGAACGGTCACCTCTTTTTATTGTCCCAAGGGCTCATTCCCCTTTCCTGCAGTACAACCACTGCTAATGAGCTTGGCTCAATGAAATACGCAAGCAAGTTATAAGAAATAATAATGAACCATTAAGAAATACCATAACTATGCTAACATAATTAAACACATATTAATATGTCATATTGAGCCTAAAAGTGCCTAGCAGTATTATTTATCTTTCCAAAACTATTCCACATCTTTAAATAAGTTATAAAATGACTATAACCTTTTGCACCATTCAACTTTCCAATTCAAGGTTGGGTCTAATTTCTCAACTTTTAGAATGAAAGTTGTTCTCTCATTCAGGGTTGAGTCAAATTTCTCAACTTCTATAATTAAGAGTGTAGGCTTACCTCATCAGGTCTTTCTCCTTTACCAGTGCGGGCCTATCCCCCATATATAACTTATTTCACTTTTCATATAGTCATCCTTTTTAGAGCTAATGACATATGTTTTTGATGATATAATTGCGCTTTAGCTGCTCTTCAGTTACCCTTTAGCTTCCCTTTAGGTGCCCTTTAACTGCCCTTTAGGTGAGCTTTAGATGCCCTTTAGGTGCCATTTACGTGCGCTTTAGGTGCCCTTTACGTGCGCTTTAGGTTCCCTTTATGTGCCCTTTACGTGCGCTTTAGGTGCCCTTTAGGTGCGCTTTAGGAATATTTACCCTCCTATGCTTACTACATCATTTACATTGCTAAAGATTATCCTTTAAATAAACAAATTCATACATAAACAACCATATTCATTCAAATAACCAAAATAAACTAGAATACATGTGATCATAAACATAATGAAGATAGAGTGCGATAATAAAACATTTGTTAATTCTTATAACCTTGTTTGGGTATTTCACCTCGGTATCTCGATTCTTTCTTCTTTTCCTTTTGTAAACAACCCTCACTAAACTTCCTCATTCAACACAACACCTTTTTCAAATTTTGGTCACCACTGTACCAGTTCATTTCTCCATATTCTTGAATTAATTAACCACCACCTTCAGCTATATTTTAGAAATTCCAAAATTGTAATTCAACACAAATATTACAGAAATTGCTATCTCAGATTT